AAAGGAGAAGTCAGTTTGGGCAATGGCCTGGATATGAGGATCCATCTCTGGAAAGGATCTCTCAGGTACTCGAGCAATCTGCTCCACGAGAAGCCTCAAGTGATAGTTTGGATCTGGCTGTGGAGTGTAGCATGGCTCTGCCGGATTGCCCGTGAAGGCTGTGGCGAACTCAAGATTTGATGGTCCTTCTTGTTGTGGGAGGAATTCTTCCTGATAAGGAGATTGTTCTTGAAATACCAAGGGGTCTGATTGTTCTTCGTAGTAGGGGGGTTGGTACTGAAACCCGACTCCATAGTCTTATCCTCCTTGGTTACTCCAGGGAGTCTCGGGGTAATACCACTCGGATGGTGGTGGATACCCCCAATGATTGGAGAAGCCATGAGGGTCCATGATTCAGATCTGCACCAACAAAAACAAAAAACACCCAAGTGAAAAGCAAGGGCGGAAAACAAAAGAAAAACGCTAAAGTAACAAACTTCTTCCTTTCCTAATAATCTAGAAAGTTCCCCGGCAACGGCGCCAAAAACTTGACACGCTAAAACACAACACCTAACAATGGCCAAGTGTAACCAATGAAAGGGACTGCAGTATAGTGGCACAAGTAATAAATATCGAATCCACGGGTCTCTAGAGTTACTATTACTCAGCTTTAGTTCATTATCTAGCAAACTAGATTAAGGATTGATTTATAAACTACTCTACTGACTACTCCACTAATTACAAGTTGGGAACTCACTTAGGTATGATTCCCCCTAGCTCCTCAATTAGGTCCAAGTTGCAATTACCTTTGGTTGATCTACTGTTGATTAAACAGCGGAAGATCCTAAATTAGCTTGGAATCTCTTAAGCTAACCAAGCCCTCTCACTCCAACTACCCGGCAGACGACTAGTCTTCACCAGGATAGAAAGTTGAGGCTATGAACACAGAACTCCACTAATGGAATGAATTCCAGTACAAAGCAGTGAATTGATTGACTCTCGCACAACCAATTCACCACTATCAATCAAGGAAGCTCTCTTAACCTAATAAGATTCTATCTATCATAGGTTAAAGCAGAAATCAAGAGAATTTGATCAAGATTCAATTGACTCAATAAATCATGCCTCAATCGATTATAATCAAACAATATAGCATCCAAAACTTCATACAAGAAATATCCTAACACATGGAACTAGGGTTCCTCAAAACCTAAGTGAAGGGAAGTTACTCCATAGAGAAGTGAGAGACTGCAGAAATCTGATCTAGATCTTCAATCTCCATCTCCAAGCTTGATTCCCGAGCTCCAATGGCGAAGAAATCCTCCAAAATAGCTCCAAGAATGTTCCCAAGTCGCTCTCTCTCTCTCTCTAGGGTTCGTCCCTTGGGTGTTTGGGAACCAAAAACCCAGCTCTCCCCTTTCCTTTTGCTGAAAATCGTGTTTTAACAGAAATTCCCGATCACGCTACCAGGCCACACGGCCGTGTGGCTTTCCCAGCTTCCCGTGTGAAGGCTCGGTGATTTCCACACGGCCACGACCCACACGGCCGTGTGGAGTTCCAGGATACCCGTGTGGCTTACCCAACCTCTGTTTAATGCTTCATTTCTCCCTCGTTCGGACCCCGAATCAGTCGCCGTTTGATCACAGACGCTCGTAGTCTCGTCCTCTTTCTTTTCATGACAAAATTCCATGATTATTTGTCCATAATATGAGGTATAAGTCCATTATTCCTCAGGTCATGCTCGTGTTTCTTCTCCCGAATTGTCAAATGATCTCCGATTGACTTGAAACTTGCGCCTATGCTTCAATTTACATGCTAGGACCTGAAATGTGACAAAGGAACACAACCTAGCATAAAATAGTCCAAGAAAGCAGAAACTCAAGCCAAAATGATCAAGAAACGAGGGTGCAAACATGTGAAAATCCGATGTTATCAATAGGTATCCCCTGGGGTGGGTTGTGTTCACCTTCCATCTCGTACTCTTCCTCAGAATCGCTGCTCAAGTGGCCGTCTATGCGCTCCTCCGTAGCCAGTCTAGCTCGCTGTTGTCTCCTAAGTTGGCGACAAGTGCGTTCAAGCTCCGCATCCAACGGGAGTAAACCTCCCGACTGGCTACGGGTCATGCACTATCTGCACACAGTCAAGCAATGCAAACCCGTGAAGGCACAAGTGGGAAAGAAAAAACAGTCAATGCGAAAATGAAAATGCTAAAGTAACAGAAATCACGTTTCTTCAACAACCTAGCCGTCCCCGGCAACGACGCCAAAAACTTGACTCGCTCCTACCGTCACTCCAGAAAATGGCCAAGTGTAACCACCTCCTAAAGCGTAGTATAGCGGGTTTGGGTTTTAATGTCAACTCGGGTCCTAGATGTGCTGACTACTCAGTGAATTCTTATTATCTAGCGGTGAAACTTAAGTGCAGGTCCAAACAAGCAAACAAGCAAAGCAAGTAAAAAGGGTTGTTTTCAAGTCGAGAGAGGTCACCCGGATATGGTTCCCCCTAGACTGCAGTTAAGCCGGATTGTAATTAACCAAGTTGAATTTCAATGATAGTTATACTTCGGGAGGTTCTTAAACAGTCTGAAGTCTCGACTAAAGCTCTCCAGACCCTCTCAATCTGAATCCCCAGCGGGCGACTAACCTCCATCGGAGTAAACAGTTTGAGGCCCTAACGAACCAAACCTCCACTACCGAAGCAAATTCGGTACAGAATAGTGAATTGACTTCTCGACTAAAGTCGTCAATCCACTACCTTCAATCAAGGGTGCTCTATCAACCTAGGCAGATATTCTCATTCTAGGTTAAACCAGAAACAATAGGAATTTGATCAGGATTCATGTCATTCAACAATTCAAACCTCAATTGAACATAATCAAATCATAGAATCTGTACTTGGGTTCATACAATCAGACCTAACATACAAATCTAGGGTTCTTCATACCTAGGTGAATAAGAAAGTTACTCCATAGAGAGAGATGGGAAATCTAGCTCAGATGCGGAAACCATACTATGAAGGATGATAATCTGCATCTGGCACTCAATCGGATCTTCTCCAAGCTCAAGCCGGGCTCCAATGGTGATGGAGATCGATCTAGGACACTTGCAGAATCAGGTTCGTCACTTTCTCTCTCTAGGTCGCACTTTTTTTCTCTAAAACTCGGAACCCTTCTCCTTTGGCTGAAAATTGGGTTAAAAGCAGAAAATCCCGATCACACGGCCAGGCCACAAGACCGTGTGACTTCCCCAGCTGACTGTGTGAGTGTCCAAACGCGGCGTTTCGATTAGTGGGCTTCCAGGCATGCTGCACGACCAGGGCCACACGGCCGTGTGAGTGTCCAGGCTGCCCGTGTGGGATTTGCCAAGCCTTCACACGGCCACAACGGGTCTCCTACACGGCTAGTGTGGCTTGAACCGTGCAATTTGGTGCCACACGGCCAGGTCACACGGCCGTGTGGGGTGCAAAAGTGCCCGTGTGGCTTCCTCAACTTCTCGCCAAACGTCCAATCTTCGTCCAATTGACCCTGAACTCGTTCCCAAGCCTTCATTCACGTGCTAGGACCTGAAATATCACAAACACGAACAACCTAGCGTGAAATCGTCCTAAAACGCGGGAATCGACATCTCAAACGGCTCAAGAATAGGGGTAAAAACATGTGCAATCAATGGTCTATCAGCACCGCATTACTTGAAACGACATTGTTTGCTAAAAAACAATGTGCGAGTCATGGGTCGCAGGACTTGTGCTGCTGTTGGACAAGGAGTGCTCTTTTTTTTCTCCTTGTCAGAGGAGGAGAGAAACAGCACTGTTGGAAGTCAAGCAATGCCGTGAAGAGATAAAACGGTGTAGCGAATCTCAAAGCTCAACGACATTGTGAGACTGGGAAACGGTGTTGTTTGGCTAAAAATGACACCGTTGAGAGACAAGCAACATCGCGGAGGGTTAAACGGCACCGCGGGTAAGCCCAACAACGCCGCGGTACTCGAAACGATATTGTTTAGTGGAATAGCGGCAGCAAGATTGGTGTTGGGGTTGGAAAAAGGGCGTTCTTTATCCCGTACCGGAGGAGGAGAAGATCCGTTCGTGAGAGAGTAAAAACGGTATTGTTTAGTAAACCAAAGAACGCCGTGAAGTCAAAGCCCAACGGCACCGCAAGACTAGAAAACGACGTGGTGTGGAGGTATATGATTTGGCTCGGTGTCGATTTGCTTTTGCCAAGATTTCACATAGCTGAGCGGTTTCGTGGGCACGTGAGTATCACGCAACAAGGTGGAAGTTTACCTGCACGGTTGAAAATTGGATAACGTGGGAGACAAAGACGCGAAGATGGTTACTGCGACTACGGAAAGAAGATTGGGTATAAACATCGGGATGGGAGAGAAGCTCGGGACGGCAAAATCAAATCTCAAACTACACCATCATAGACTTATCCTTTTTTCTCTCTAGTTCGTAGAACCGCTCTGTCAAAGATCACCTTTGCAGAGTCGTAGATCGTAGATGTAGTCGTAGTTGCGGAGCTCTCCAAAGGAACCTCCATAGGAGTAAAGGTAACTTAATTTAAAAATCCTCCTTGTTTCCTCGTTGCTCGTCGAATACCCTCGTTCGAACATTGTTTGGAGAGGTGTGAACCGAGTAACGATCGTTCTTGGTTAGAAGTCAGAGGTGTATCAATCGAATCAACATCGCCCGACTACCGGCGCTGGATATTTGATAGTCCTTCTTTGATTTGTGTTCTTGTTTTCCTTGAGAACAGATCGCATTAAACACAAGCGTGTTTCGCCATTGAAACACTATCCGATCGTGTGCTGAGTGCTCAGCTCGTTTCTCAGGGAAGCTTACCTGAAGCTCCCTAAGAATATCCAATCCATGATCCTCGACGATACTCTCACCGTGTTTCGTCTACTTCGCCCACGTAAGTTGCTTCTTCTTTTTTGGTGAATTGAGTTGATAGAATTGAACCTGAATCGTGCAACCCCTTTAATAATTCAGCATCAATTGCATGGATTATCGGGGGGTGAATTATGAACAAGAGAATTAGGGCTTTCCTTGGTGGCAATGGAGTGTTTGATAGTCTAGAGGTATTCTTTACGTGGGAAGTAGCATGAGATTGCGAAGCTGGGAGATGGTGGTTGAATTTCTTGGGGGTTTGATGTTTGAGCTGGTTGAATGTGATGTTAAAATGCTACCATATACAGGTTTTGATCATATTCCCTTTTCAAGTTTTCCAACATGAAATGAGGTGGTTATTTGAAAATCCAAGATGGATATGCATATTACTGTTTCGGCAACCCATCTTCTCTGCCAGAGCGTTGAGGCCGCACTCCCCAAGCAGAAGGAAGAACTTGGCAGTCCGGAATTCAGACATGGCAAGGTTGCTCAGAAGAGGCGGTGGAAGGCTTATCACTGGGAAGAAAGTATGTTTATGTTGTTGTTCACTAGGAGTTCAGTGATTTTTTTGCCTCGCCAGTTCGATTGAAACCTTTACCTCTCCTTGCTTTCCAACTAATGCAGAACTTCCGCAATACTTATTAGCCCACGTCTTCAGCTTCCTCTACATAGTCTTTCGCTTTAGTGGGGAAAGTGTGCTGGTAATTGATGACTCAATATTTGCACATGTTTTCCCCTTTGTTTCTTGATCGTTTAAGCTTGCATTATCACTTCGTTGGCCTATTTTACGCTAGGTTGTGTTCCTTTGTCACATTTCAGGCCCTAGCACATAAAGTGAAGCGTAGGCGCAAGTTTCAAGTCAATCGGAGATCATTTGGCAATTCGGGAGAAGAAACACGAGCATGACCTGAGGAATAATGGATTTCTACCTCATATTATGGACAAATTATCATGGAAGTTTGTTATGAAAAGAAAGAGGACGAGACTACGAGCGTCTGGGTTCAAACGGCGACTGATTTGGAATCCGGACGAGGGAGAAACGAAGCTTTGAACAGGAGCAGAGGAAGAATTACGGGCATGAGAATTACGACCGTATTTTCCCCTCCCATGCCCGTACTTTCACTGCCGAGAGGAGCTTTGGGTGCGCTGAAACTTAACCAAAACGCGTGTTTTGGGCAAACTAGGGGCATGGAAGAATTACGACCGTAATTCAGCCCGTAATTCGCCCAGAATCGGGTTTTTGAGGCAGATTTGAGACAAAGGAAAGGGAGAGTTGGGTTTTTGGTTCCCAAACACCCAAGGGACGAACCCTAGAGAGAGAGAGCGATTTGGGAACATTCTTGGAGCTATTTTGGAGGATTTCTTCGCCATTGGAGCTCGGGAATCAAGCTTGGAGATGGAGATTGAAGATCTAGATCAGATTTCTGCAGTCTCTCTCTTCTCTATGGAGTAACTTCCCTTCACTTAGGTTTTGAGGAATCCTAGTTCCATGTGTTAGGATCTTTCTTGTATGAAGTTTTGGATGCTATATTGTTTGATTATAATCGATTGAGGCATGATTTATTGAGTCAATTGAATCTTGATCAAATTCTCTTGATTTCTGCTTTAACCTATGATAGATAGAATCTTATTAGGTTAAGAGAGCTTCCTTGATTGATAGTGGTGAATTGGTTGTGCGAGAGTCAATCAATTCACTGCTTTGTACTGAAATTCATTCCAGTAGTGGAGTTCTGTGTTCATAGCCTCATCTTTCTATCCTGGTGAAGACTAGTCGTCTGTCGGGTAGTTGGACTGAGAGGGCTTGGTCAGCTTAAGAGATTCCAAGCTAATTTAGGATCTTCCGCAGTTTAATCAACAGTAGATCAACCAAAGGTAATTGCAACTTGGACCTAATTGAGGAGCTAGGGGGAATCATACCTAAGTGAGTTCCCAACTTGTAATTAGTAGAGTAGTCAGTAGAGTAGTTTATAAATCAATCCTTAATCTAGTTTACTAGATAATGAACTGAAGCTGAGTAATAGTAACTCTAGAGACCCGTGGATTCGATATTTATTACTTGTGCCACTATACTGCAGTCCCTTTCATTGGTTACACTTGGCCATTGTTTGGTGTTGCGTTTTAGCGTGCCAGTAATGGTTCGTTCTCTCAGTGTTTTCTTAGATTTTTTGAGCTAAACCTGTGGCAGTTCTAACGGTCTTATGGTTGATTTGTGAAGGTCGTGGAACATTGCAGCTAACAACAACCTCCTCTGGCAAGCTCACTATGCTGAAGTAATTGGTAGTAGCAGAAACTCTATAGGGCCGAAAATAAAGAAGAGTATATGCTCTATTTAGGAAAATGCGGCTAGTGGAGGAACCAGTGTTGATTGGAAAGTGGCCTTCCAAAGAGCGTACAGTGGTAATGGTTTTATCAGTGCATGTTATGTATCCGAGTTTCCATCCTATTTAATAACTTCTACAGATTTCCTATCTTTTATTTCTTTTTCTTAATCAGGCAATTGCTCCAAGCGACCAGTATCTAAAAGGGGATACTGCAACCATTGCAAAGCAGCAGTTTGGCTTGATGGTAAGAAAATTTTTGTCACTGTAATGAAGCCCAATGCAAATCCTAACAATTACAAATCACACACATTACGTCTGATCAGGTTATAATTTCCCCAGTCCACTGTATCTTCACTGCACTGAAGAAGACACGAGAATCTGTCCGCCATTGACTTGGATTTGCTCTCTCTTTCATGGAGTTTTCCTCTTTTAGCTAAGCTGTCCGAACCTTTCCCTTTTCAGGTTGTTGCCTATTTATTGCATGGTTTTTTGTCTCTGTTATCTTCTTCAGAAGGTGATAGTGACTCAGATGACGAGTGCATTGTGAGCGAGACGGAGGTAGGGGCCGAATCGGCATTTGGAGGGGTATTCGGGTCATTATTTATTGTTGGGGAGAGAACTATTTAAACAGTAGAATGCTATTTTGGATTAACGAATAATCATATCAGAATTCCCAAATCTCTAATTCCTCTTCAATCTCTCAATTCTCATCCTAATTCCCAAGTCTCAACCCTAATCTTTCTATTCCCATCCCCAATTCTTGTTCGTAACATCCGTGTTCCTCACAATGGTATTAGATCTGTGTTCGACATGAGTTCTTCAAGGCTCTCGGACGGGGACCAGATGACGCGGACTGATACCCGCCTGTTGAGCTTACTCTCGCGACTTGAGCGAGTGGCAGAGGACATATGGGTGGCAATTGGCGAGGTGAAGGCGATGGCAGAGAGTCGGGTTCTTCTGGTCGCAACAGCAGCAGTGCAGGAGCAGGCGACGAAAAGGAGGAGGCAGGCAGCGCAGGCCAAGAAACCATCTCCGTCGTCATTGCAGGCGAGTTCGCCAGGTCGGCGACCATGCGATTCAAGGCGCAGGTCGCGGAGGAGTGGGGAGTGGCTCTTGTGGACAGCGAGCTTCCCTGAACTTTGTGGGAGAGGAGTTTGTGAAGCGGTTGAACCTCTCGTGGTCGCCCATCAATCCCTTTGACGTGAAGGTCGCCAATGGCGCACCACTGCGATATGCAGGGAAGCTGGAAGGGGTTCGCGTAAGGATTCATGGGCTGCATGTTCCTATCGATCTGTACGTATTGCCGTTGCACGGTTTTGACGTGATCCTGGGAATGCAGTGGCTCAAGAGCCTGGGACCGGTGACTAGCGACTGGGTGAAGATGATCATGAAGTTTAAGTGGAGAGACAAGGACTGGGAGATGCAGGGCATGATTCCGGCGGCTGTGCCGATTGGATGGGCTGATCCACAGCTCGAGGAAGACCTGTAGCTAGTCGTGCTCTGCTGGCCAGTGGAGCTCGACAGCGGGCAGCCCCTGACATCGAACCTGCTGGTATTGTTGGACCGGTATGCGGGTGTATTTGCACACCCGAACCAGCTTCCGCCGAAATGCCAGGTTGACCATCGGATTCGGCCCAAGGAGGACACTAAAGCGGTTAACGTATGACCGTATAGGTATGCTGATGCCCAGAAGGCAGAGATCGAACGCCAGGTGGCAGAGATGATGACTACCGGGTTGATTCAGGCCAGCTCTAGTTCGTTCTCATTGTTGGTATTGTTGGTGAAGAAGAAGGACAACACGTGGAGATTATGCACTGACTATCGCGCCCTGAATGCAGTAACAGTACTCGATCTGTTCCCGATTGTAGATGATATGCTAGACGAGTTACGGGATGCGCAGTACTTCACGAAGCTCGATCTGCGAGCAATTAGATACGCATGCATGAGGAGGACATTCTGAAGACCGCTTTCCGGACACATAGTGGCCATTACAAGTACCTCGTGATGCCCTTTGGACTCTACAATGCGCTCTCGATGTTTCAGGTGGCCATGAACGACATCTTTTGGCCTCTATTACACAGGTCAGTATTGGTGTTCTTCGATGACATACTGGTTTTCAGTAAATTGTGGGAGGAGCACCTACAACAGTTGCAGGAGGTGTTTGAGATATTGCACGCGAACCAGTTCTATGTGAAGGCATCCAAATGTGCCTTTCGCGTTCAGGAAGTGGACTATCTGGGACTTGTGATTTCGAGTGACCTAGAGCGAGTAGATCCCTGAAGATCCAGTCGATGATGGACTGGCAAGTGCTGAAAACTGAGATGGCGCTGAGGGGCTTCCTCAGTCTGACGGGGTATTACCGGCGGTTTGTTCAGGGTTACAGTTCAGTAGCAGGGCCGCTGAACACATTGTTGAAGATAGGAGGCTTCAGTTGGACCCCGGAGGCCGAGAGAGCTTTCGGCGAGCTCAAGGCTGCCCTATCCACGACCCCAGTATTGGCATTACCGGATTTCTCCCAGCCATTTGACATCGAGACAGACACGTCAGGCCGGGGCATCGGTGTTGTACTGTCGCAGGAGAAGCATCTCATTGCCTTCAAAGAGGCTTGGTCGACGTACCATAAGGAGATGCATGCTATCATAGAAGCAGTATAGATGTGGCGAACCTATTTGATTGGCCAGAAGATTCGCATCTACACCGATCACTAGAGCTTCAAACATTTGATGGATCAGCGGGTGTCTACTCTAGACCAGCACAAGTGGGTGGTGAAGTTGATGGAGTACGACTACGAACTCCACTATCGACTGGGGCCGATGAACAAGGCCGCAGATGCACTGCCGAGGGTGGAGTGAGGGCCGCAGGTGGCGGCAGTGACTGAACCAGTGGTGCAGTTCTGGAGATTCGCAGGGCGGTGGAGACGATCCCATACCTACGAGAGCGGCGCGACGTTGCTCTTAACGAGACACAAGGAGGGTACACGTCCTGACACGGGCTGGTCTACTTTAAGGGACGTGTGGTCCTTCCAGCTACCACTTCTCTCACGCCTATCGTGATGAGGGAATTCCATGATTCCTCTGTTGGAGGCCATTCTGAGCATGAGAGGACCTTGAGGAAAATCTGCAGTCAGTTCTACTGGCCGCAGATGACCCGTGAGGTCAAAGATTTTGTGGCCTCCTATGATACTTGTCAGCGTGTAACACCCTACCTTGTACGTTTTTCCTAATCATATTTTTCATACAATTGCAGCGGAATTTAAAACGGGTGTTACTTTAATTACCAAAATTTACCCAAATAAAATTTCGACATGAATTACTTGCGTAATGGGCTAACAGTTCTTGCAACTAGACCTGCAAAATAATTCATCCGAATCCCTGCATTCGTAGATATACATATATACTCACAACCATGTACATTGGTTTTGATAGCTATAGTCACACTTTCGTACTCTGCAACTACACACCATACTTATACATGTCATAATCATCACTACATAAACCACCACACACATATACACATATAATCAACTTTCCACACCTGTGGATATCTCACACAACATCAAAAGCTAGTATGCACATGAAAATGTTCTCAAAACATTTTTACAAAAAGGTGTGGATCACTGGCCAAAATCTCGAGTAGTCGTCCAAGCATAGAATAGTTGAAGACCATACCTCATCTTGACTTCAACTCTAGCTCCTCTCCCACCTAACACTTATCTACTGCTGCTGATGATGATCTGCTTACACATAGCATAGGCAGAGAAAAAGAATAAAAGAGGGTCAGCTCATAGCTGAGTGAGATAATCATAGCATCGTGAGTTCATAACAGAGCATACCCCTACCATACATCTAACAATCAAGCCAAAACACTAGGGTCGGACCTCGGCCATCCTCATATCCCAATGGGAAAAAGAATCAACCACCTTGACTTATGCATATGCGTCTTATCATGTTTTACTTATAGGCGCCTGGCCACTCCCATGCTAATAACTCTCCCGGGAAACAGACCCCACATCCCGTCGGATGTAGTCATACATACCCCAACATCCCGTCGGATGTGGTCATACATATCCCACACCACTATGGGTGTAGTCATACCCCGACACCGCTCTGGGTGTGGTCATATCTCGTAAGAATTCTTCAGTCACCACCACATGAGAGGTGTGACTATCATACATATCATAATAGAGTAATAGCATAGGGAGCCCTAATTACTATGTAGTTGACCGTGAGACCACAACACTCATATTTGGTATCCTTATACATGATTCATATCTCATCTTGCTTAATCATAATTCATTACTTGCACATGTACTTGACCTGACCATAATTGGCTCAACATAGGTAAATCAGGAGTCGTATAATTGCACTTCCTCGGGATAAACCCTCGTGCAAGTCATCCTCCTTAAACATCATAATATCACCCTGGGAAGTTTATTTCCCCCACTTGTGAATCAAAAAACAACCACAATATCACATCATGTCAAAACCCCCGATCGAACAACCATGAAGTCATATCAACGGTTAAGCCACAAATGGCAACATGTATGCAATCATCAACATATACAAGGTCCATATCGATTAGGGCAAGTCAATAATATCATACAGCAGTCCAAGGTTCATCACATAGCACAAAATTCCATACACCCCTAATCATGCCATTCTAATTCACCTAGGTCAATTCTAAGCATCAATATAATTATCGTGATACGACAAACCCGGTATGCCGTGCTAATCCCTCACCAGTTCTGGTCGTTCAAACACCGGTTTTAGCCTCTTGTACTAAAACGTCAATTTCACGAACGAACCCAGAATTAAAATCCGAGACCGTCCTAATATCCCCTCGCTGCAGGAAGCTCATATATGAAATTTGGGCTCAATCCGACTTCCGGATACTCCAAAACCCTAATTCCTTCGATCGGAAACTCAAGAAATTTGGGATTTTTGAATCACTAGAGCTCAAGATTTAAGCTTTGGAATTTCCCCCACGCTCCCCTAAACGCCTCTGCTCGCGCTGTTCTCTCGGTTGCATAAAAGGAAAAGAACGAAGATGGAAATGTAAATCAGGAAACAAATGGACATAAACCGTGTTCACTTGACCATTCCATTTTCCTTGGAAAACCCAATTATTACAAATGGGAAAACCATTAATACTCGTTTTCCGAAAAGAATGGGACGGGTTATTTCCCCTTTTCCCAGCAGAAATCGTCCGCTCTACATTAATGAGACCGCGCGTTCGAATCACTGTGGCTCCTTTTTTCCCCATTTTTCCTCTGTTACCCTATACGGCGCCGTTTTGGAATTTCTTTCATCCACCCAACACTAACCCTAGAAGAACTATGCTTCAGTCGACCCCTTTGAACTCCTCCCATAGCAATCGGCCGCCGACCCCTCTGAACTCGCCCCATCGTCTTCTCCACCCAAACCACCCACCAGCAGCCCCATCGTCTTCCTCCGCCAGCATCGCGCCGCCATCATTTTCTTCACCCTCGCCAGCCTCGGCCGCCACCATCTGCGAGAGGAAGGATTCCACGACGCGAGAAGCACCATCCGACCGCCATCATTTTCTTCTCCCTCGCCAGCCCCGCGCCGCCACCATCTGCGAGACGGAGGATTCCCCGACGCGAGAAGCACTAGCCGGCCGCCATCATTTTCTTCTCCCTCTCCAGCCCCGCGCCGTCATCATCTGCGAGATGGAAGATTCCCCGAGACGAGAAGCTCCAGCCGCCGGAAATGGCAGCTGCTAGCGACTCATTTCAGCATAAGCAACACCGAAGAAGCTTTCCCCTTCTCGATTCCTCATCCATCGAACAGAGAAGCGGCTGGCGATTCCTCCTCCGAAGCTGCTAGCGATTCCTCCTCCAGCCGCACATCGTCCTCCTCCTGCTGTCACCCATTCCAGTAGAAGCAGCACCGAAGGAGCTTTCCCCCTCTCAATTCCTCCTCCGAAGCTGCTAGTGACACGATCCAGGTACTTTCTCTTCCTGTGAGTGACACGGTCCATGCTTGCTTGTGATGATGAATTGTACTGGTTTGGTCATGTTTTGTGTTGCGAGTTTGAATGGAAATATTATGGTGGATGAAAGAGTTTGAATGGAAATATTATGGTGAATGAATTGAACAATGGACAGATTTGTTGTTGAGTTTGAATGATGTTGTCTTCGTTTGTTTTGTTTGATGTCAATCTGTTGGTGATATCTTATT